TTCTACAGCCTTTTTGAGATGTTACTGCTCCATTTAATTAACTTAATTGAATAAAAGTTAATCTCACTTCTTGATAATTAAAAATGCCAAGATTCAGAAAATTAACAGTCAGGTTTGCTCCGAGTTAGTGTTACTAAGATACGAAAAGCAAATACTGCTAGACTGGATATGATTAAAATTGTTGAAAGTAACAAAAAAGAAAGTAATGCGAGTGAAAGAAATCTGGGTCAGATAAGGTAACAATGTATCAATAGATGTTCTTTAACTCTCTGAAAGACTAACTATTATTCATTCAACTAAATTTGCATCTATTTTTATATTTTTCGTTTACAATTTATTATTTAAAAAAAATACTTATTTGATTATAACTTAACATGTTTAAGTAATTTATGTCAATCTTAGCAGCAAATGCACAGGGTTCTAGGTTTGACAGTCATTCTTGCAATTTGCTTTTTTCAATTTTATATTAGTTTGTATCTGAGTAAGCAACTTAATATATTCTTTTATTATTACCTATTACTCTTATTTTAATAATTCAAGGACTTTCCGATTTTGAATTAATCTATTACTTTCAGGCAAAACTGAGGTTTCAAGTTTTTCCTTCGTAAATCTTGACTGTAATTAAGGTTAGCCCCCTTTTTACTTTTATCATCTTGCTGATTTGAAATATAGGAATGTAAAAATTCCAATTGTTTAACATACAGACAGACATAATGCCCCACCAGCTAATCCAACTTGGTAGTAAGGTTTGTATGAGACTAAAAACAATCAATCAAGAAAACAACTACAGATCTCGCATTAAAATGAATTGCTTGCATCAGCTCATACTTCTCAGGCCACAGTAGAAATAGAACATTTTAAAACACACAGTTTCACTGATATTTCAATTAAAATTTTAGATTTTATTCCTAATCTAAAAATTAGGCTTTTCAGAAAATCTGCACATTTTAAAAAACAGGGACTTAACACTTATCTTAATAAATGTACTTTATATTTTAATCATACTACTTATGGAAGATTTAATATTTTCAGTAAAAACGCTCTTAGAAGAACTAGATGAGGCAAAAAGACTACAAACAAAATACTAGTGGTTAATGTTAATAAACTTCAACTTAAGTTCATTAATTTATTTAATTCTGAGATTTCACTTTAAAAAGTGTCACATTACTGCACACATTTACATTATCACAACTTCAATAGTACTTCATAGGTACTTTCAATAATTTTTCTGATATTAAAGACTTTGTATTAGATTTTATTATACTTAAATTTCAAAGTAACAGAAAAGATGATGACCATGAATTTCTCTCTTATTAACTTTCTACATCTTGCCTTCAATAGAATAAATTTAAAAAAAATGGTTTAAAACATCACAATATCTTTTCCCACAACAGATTCCAGGACTCACGTCTGTTTCAACTACAAAAAAAAAAAAAAAAAAAAAAAAACTGGCTTTCCAACCATCAGGAACTGAACTGAAAAGCAACTTGATACTGCAATGATGTAGTTCCCCCCCTTCTTGTATGGATTCTCCCAATAAACACATTATTACTGGTAATTTTGATATAGTTGGAAGATTATTTTTTAAGGCAGCTTATGAAACAGAGTACTAAATTTACGCCAGTTAGTTGGCTCAGTTAATAAGTCATTATGCATTAAAAATGTTGAAGATAATACAGATGACTTCATTTTAAGAACCAGCTTCAAGCTTTGCCTACCTACTCAAACCTTTATGGAATGGAAACATATATTAAACAATGGCAAAATAGCACTGTCTAAGCAGCAAAGTTCTGAAAGTTTTTACCTCTTGCAAGAACTCAAAAAAAATTTCTACTCTTAGGGCTAAATTTTTTATAACTAAAAACAAAGTCGGTAATAATTTCAGCATCATTTGTAACAGCTCTCTTGATGAAAGCGAACTTAAACAAGCAGTTACTTATGGTGTTGCTAAAAGTAACAAAAGAGCAATTATTAATAATAAACATCATGCTTTTCACACAGAACACTAAAATTATTTCTTAATTCTGATTTCAGTAGATTTTCTAACTTATATGCACTGCTTAAGTTCCAAAAGAGCTCAGTCAAGTTCAGATTTATTCCTAATGGCACGAGGAACTATAAGGAGGGATATGACTACATTTTTTCTCTTAAATTCAAGCAGATTTGTAAACTTAATTTAAAAAATGTAAATAAAGAAAAACACTTCAATTGCATCGTTTAGAACAACCATCCTGTGATTAAAATTGTAAAAGAGAGCAATATACTTAATATCAATTGCTATGACTTAGGGAACCTTTATACACCACAGCCAATGAAAAAAAAATTTATACCAGTCTGTTAGAATTACCTATATTACAGATACGTAAAAGTTTAGATACTATTAGCTGGAAGGTATATCTCCACTGCTCTCTTTTTCACAATTACATTTAGTTCCGAGATACTACTTTTCTGCAAATTAATGGCATCTTTATGGGAATGAATTATTCTACTCAAATATGTAACCTTTACTTATTTACTAAAAAGTAGAGATTTCTATAGATATATTGATGATATCATTCTTTCAACAATTTTAACTTCATCGAATCTAGCAATATTTAGCCTTCCTGTCTTAAACTTAAGAAGACCAAACTGAGATTGATCAGTTTGACCAGCTGTCGATTTTCTGGATCTTAACATTTTTAATTACCCAAAAGAAGTCAAGTCACATTACTTGACAAAAGAGATTTCGACTTTAATTCTATTAAGCTACTTAATTGGAACAGTACATCTCCAAAAAGGTTATAGGAAATACTATTTATAATCAACTAGCTTGTATAAAAGATATTTTAAGGGAAGTCAACATACCAGAAATTCTATTGCTTTCACAAACATTCGCCAATAATCAAGTTAATAAATATGTTTAAAAATAATTAAAACTGAAAAAAAGCTGGCATCATCTATGAACTGCGATTTTTTTTTTAACATAATGAAGCCCTTTTTAAACCGCAAGGAAGAATGAGGTGAATGGGTGAAAACTACTTTTAGTACGTAAAATTTGTAAAATATGTAATTTACTGTAAATTTGTATTTTTATTTCTACCATTATGGCTGTAACTTTGACTAATGGTGACATTTCAAATTTTCTGAAAGTTGCCACTGCAGCCAAAATAACACAAAGAGCTGTTAGTCTGTTCTATTTTTCTTTTTCTTAATTTTTGCCAGATTCTGAATTCCATTTTTTAAAGTTTTTCTTTTTAAAGTTTCCATTTTTTAAGTTTTTATAGCAACTATTTCATTAATATTATTTGGCGAGATTAAAGGCTGCTCTGAGTGCAGATAATTTTCCCATCCACATTCTTTCCAACATTCATTTAGAAGTACCTACTGCTTGAGTAAGTTTTAATTGATCTATATGATTTTTGTAATTAGACTGAAATATTGATTAACAAATTTGCTGCCGATCAGCATTAAGTTTTGAAAATATGTGCTGGTACTGGCATAGAGTGAAGGTTAGAAACTAGTTGTCAATGTATGTAGTTTGGAATGAAGACAAAGTTCCATTTCATGCAAAGACCATACACGAATAACATTCAGGAATTAGTTTGTAGGAATATCATTGTAACTGTCTTATAACATATTTATTTATAATATATATATATATATATATATATTTGTTTGTGGCATAGTTTCATTCAAAAATAATGCATATTATTGTTACTAATTTTGATTCATTTTTAAATACCTTGTGCCAGGGTTCATGCAGCATTGCAAAAATAAATTTACCTTTTAGTGCCAATCACACACTGGTGTGCAGTCATAAAATTCTATGCTTAAAGGCTTAGCAATCAATATGGTAGACATAATAATCTTTTGTTACCTCTTTTAAATCATATTTCTCATAAAGTTGGCATATGGGTACAATCTATTTCTATCACACAGCATTAACTATCAACATAACCTCACATGACCAGCAGTGAAAGTGTTAATGTTTATTGAATTCCAGATTCTTTATACTTAATTTTATGACTGCATTTACCACTTATATATTTACTGTGTTTATAGTTTTCCTGTAAAAAGTGTTGCTTTTGCCCACTTTGCCATTTTTTATGCATACGACCCAACCGAAATTTTCTGATGCTTTGAATTTTCATTTTGAATGTAGTTTATACTATCGTATATATGCTTCTCTGGCTGGCCATATATGTAGGGATAGAGTCTTTAAATTTTCAGACATAAAAATGGTTTTTAAAAATGGTAAATATTACATTTTAAAGCCTCAGCCAATTTGGGATTAACAGAAACACATATCTAATAGGCCAGGTATGATGATTGTATAGGTGTTATTTCTACCTACCTCCTGACAATGTTCAGGTCTGGCAGTGAAAAAAATCAACATATTAATTTTTAATTTTCATTTATTTTAATCATGTAATTTATTAGTTCAAAAAAATTTGCATACGTGGTAATAATTTAACATTTTAAAGTAATGTACGTCAATTTTAACAGCAAATGCACAAGATAATAATTCTCAAAGTCATTCTTGCAATTTGCTTTTGTCAGTTTTATATTAATTTGTGTGTTGTGTATGTGAGTGCACATGCATGTACATTTATATATGTGTGTGTGTTTACACAAGAAACAAAACCAAATGCTGGGTATTGGTGACTGGAAGAAAGCATTACTCATTGCAGAGTATCAGTAGCATGGCCATCACCTTGAATCTTGTTTGAAATTTTTAGCAGAGTATCAGTAACAAGAAACAGTACAAACAGAAATGGGAACAGCAGCAACATAACAAAATCCTTCCATCATTTATAATGCCAATCTCATTTGAGTCCCAGACTTCAGGACTACTTTAGATCAGATAGAAGGGAAAAAAAAAAATAACAGGCACACAACAGCCAAATTGTGTCAACTTAGATACTTATTCCTTTTAAAAAATAAGGTATGAAAAAATTAAATGCAATATAAGGTATTTGAAAATTCTAAAAAATTTTAACTACAATTCTTGCATCACATACCTCCATTTTGATTTACAAAGTTCATCGACAAGTCACGATAGATACCATAATAATCATACTCTTCAACAAGTAGCACTTTCACCACTCAAGACCTAAATTTGAGTTAGATTCCTGCAATGACTGTTGAAATAGATGTTATTAGGTTTTTCAAATCATATTATACTTAGAAAGAAAATAACTATAATAATACTGAAATGCCATAAGCTTAAAACTTTTTTTTTAATGTGAAAAGGTATGTACAACAGACATTTCTCTGTCAATTAATGTAATTATCTTGCAATATCATTTTTATTAAAAGGCTTGTGTTACAATATATAGTTTCCTATTAATACCTATAGTTAATAAAAATCAAAAATTCAATTTGTGTAAAACAACAAATAATTCTCACTGTGTTTTTTTGCGCTGCAACTTCGTGAATGTAACCCCCCGAACCCCCCCCCCAAAAAATATCTTTGATAAACTACAAAAAATTTGATAATGCACTAATTATCAGGTTAGCGAGGGAATACTATATATTAGATTAAGCATAAATAGTTGCAAATCTCCGACTAATCTTGATGCAGAATAGAAAGTAATACAAAGCAAAAATTATGCAAATATTTTTCATGTGTATTATATAGAACTAAAGAAAAATCCAGCAACAATAACAACAAATGATGAAAGTTGGAAATATATCATTTCTTTCTTTAAAAAATAAATTAAGAAAAAATCATAATAGCATAATGCAGATGACACATGCAAGCAGCAGGGAAAAGAAACTTTTACAAATTTACTACACATGCAACATAAGTGGCAAATGATAGAAATTCTTAATAAACAATTGTAAAAAGTTTCACACTTCTGTAGATATTGGAGCAGACAATTTCTAGAAAGAGTAAACATGTAACATATAAATCATAATGAAATATACACAGCATGCAAACAAGCTTTATATCAAACAAGTTTTGATTAAAAAAAAAACAATAATATAACATCATATTAAATTTTCAAAGCCTATAACATGTAATGAGAAAAAAAAAAAAAAAAAAAAAAAAAAAAAAGAAAAGAAAGAAACTGAACATACTATAAAATATCCCACTTACGAATCTAAAACTCAACCTTGAAATATATTTATTCATCAACAATTACCTAAAGCATTCAAACTTCCATTAACTACCAATCAGAGTTTAGCAATTATATTACTTAAAAACATGCTAGGGAAATATATAATGCTTGAAATTAAATGAAATATCAACTCCCCTCCCAAAAAAAATCCTCTCATTCATTAGTATCATCATGAAATACTATATGGTTCTCAGGAAAGAATAAACATCCTATAAATTATAAAATGCTAAAAATAGTCTTGCATTTAAAATTAGCATAGAAGTCAATTTAGTATATCAAAAGTAAGTCACTACTTCACTTTAATCATTGATTTAAGACACAAATATTGATGGTACAGAAGAAAGTAGTATCTACAATGACAAGCATTTTAATAAACAAGGCAAGTGCATTAAATTGGAAAAATGACACTGCAAAAAAATAAATGTAAGATTCTAGGCAAAATTCATCTGCCCTTTATAATATTTTTGCTTAGTCTCTCACTTTGAAGTTCAAAGTCATATACCAAACTAAAGAAATTTGGGTACTTCTTCGATATAGCGACCCCCGAGATTGAATCGCCAATCAACTAAGATTTCTTGCCAGAATCTGGCTACGAGTTCTGACACTTCACAAAACGATCATATATCAGCTTTGGGTGCATGTTTTTATACCTCGCCACATAATCGTATATTATTAGCTGCAAGAGCAAAAATGCACCATGCTGCATTTTTGCTCTTGCAGCCTGTTCTTACATTATTCCTTTCTGATGAGGTTTTTGAATTCACACTGTTTATTTTAAAATACATCCATTGCATTTTTTTGTGAATATCACATTAACATTCTTTAATTTACCAAGTAATGAGGAAGATGCCATATCATTTTTCAAGAAAGAGGTTTTTTACCTGATAAACGAGTATGCAAAAATGGCCACAACATGAAATTTTATGTTAACGATGAAACCATTTGGAGATGCAATGTTAAAAATTGTAAGAAAGAAGAAGGGCCTCCACATTGAAAATTTGTTCAGTAGTTCCAGAATTATTTTGTCACTGCTATTAGATTTAGGAATTCTTGGGCAGAGGAGCTGATGTCCATGAAACTGTATAACAAACAAGCTTAATATGGCGTGACAGCTCAATAAGTGCTGCAGTTGAACAGCTGAACAGGAGCTGCAGTTTACTGGAATAATTATTACATGAGAGAAAATAATAATAACAAAGATGAGAGATAATAAAAATATGAGAGATTTAAAAGGAAACACTTAAAATACAGCAGTCCGGTATTAACTATGCTGCAGCTTCACCTTGTTAGTTGTGCATTATAATAACACTTATTAAAATGATTAATTTATAGGTGTATTTCCTTTTCTTCTGTATTATCAGTCTTTATACCCTAAATTAAGTCATATATCAAAGATAAATTAGACTCTGTTACTTTAAAACAGATCTCTCAAAGCAACTTATTGTCTCCTCTAGCTTCTCCAGTAAACATGGCAACATCTAAATATATATTAAAGATCCTATCTAAATATATTCAAGATCCTATCACTTTACTTCAATTTAACCATTTGCGCTACGACTAAACTCCACGGTTGCGGTGACATGCACTACAATATAACAAGCGGTAAAGTGTCTCATTTACGCCGCTTTGCATCTGCGAGTGCAATCCAGAGCTGTAACTCGAGAAATAAACAATCTCGTTGTTAGGCGACATGTGCACCACGTTATTTTCACTTTTGCGATAAATGCCTATCGACGTGGTGTTCATGTTGCATGCGGTTTGAGACAAAAGCATCTCGACATGCGTGGCATGTCTTTTTAGCGCAAGTGGTTAATGTGTTTCAGTTCTAGCTTAAGTCAAATTACATTACACAAAATTCTGAATTATTCCCGCAATCAAACATATTTCAAGACATCATATGTTTTCCACAAGAAAATAAATATCCCAAATTCTGTTCTTTTGATTCTATAGAAACATGTTAAACACATTTATAATGGCTATTAGAAAAATCTGGATTTATTATAAAGTCATATATTAAAATCTAATAGCAGTGTTCAAACAGCAAAATGTAAAGATTTCGTCCACTTAACAATTTTTCACGTAATGTATGAAATCAGAAAATTCAAGCAAGTACTACAATAAACTAACTTTACAACTCCCATTTATGCATAATAAATTGCCATATTTTATATCCATTTAAGCAGATATTCTTCTATATAATTAATCATGATTTTGACAAGGCTGTGAAGAATAAATTATTAGGCATTTAAGTTTAAATACCAGTTACATTTTTAAATAAGATCAAATTCTCATCAACTCTATTTCTAGAATGTAAAATAATTCAAATTAAAAGGCAAATTGCTTTATATACAATTGTGTTTTCTCAAAACTTTTGCCTTCTCAAGATTTGGAAAACCCTGAATTAGTAATTTATTTCTCAAGAATCTCATGCTTTTAACAAATTGCTTCAGTTAAAAACTAAACAAGTCTGCACTGATGTATGTAATAATACATAGCACTAGAAACATAGTAACAGTAATAATATAACAGCAATGCTTCAAATGTTGATAACTTTTTAAATGATAGCAGGTTAAATAAATTTAAAACAAAGATTTTATGCTTTACTTTCTTGCAGCCCTTTAAAAACTGAGTAACAATGAGATCAGGTGAAAGATAAATTAATCTTATTCTTCATGCGATAATAACACTTGTCAAGCTGTATGGATAAAAATACGCCATAGCATAAGGCAAGCGTCCAAATTTTTGGACAAACTCCGCTTAAGACATTCCTAACATTTAAAGAGAAATATACTTAGAAATAATAGGAAAGGGTGAAGTGCACAAAAAATTGTAAAATACAGAAACAGAAAATATTATTATATTTTACATTTATTCAATCAGTAGTTATATTACAAATATATAACAAGTTATGTTTTTCAGTTGCTGACAATTTTTACATAAAGCGTCTATTGCTTTATCTGCTAAACAGGTCCTGTGTTTAGATACAAAAATTCCAGAAATGGAAAAATTTTCACATTTTGTGTTGACATTAATTTTATGCACTATGGTGTATTTCTCAGCATTTTCAAATCTCACAGTCATCTACAATATGTTTCTGGTATAGAAAGCTTCTCTAACTTCCCTACCCATACACTGACATCTACATCAAAAACAAACCCTTGCAGTCTTAATAAAACTCTGCAGCAGCATAAATATTATAACACTAACAAATATTTAGACAAAAAGCAACCTCAAGAGATGTAACTAGGCAACTGGTAGGTGTGTGAAATTTTATTTTACACTTCATCAGCACCTTCTCCAAAATCCTGGATAGATATGATTGCATTCAGCAGCAATCAGTGGACTGCATTCAGCCACAACACAAATCTTGCTTTTTAAAGCAATTTATGGTTATGCTTAATGTTATATCATTCTCTGAAGCTCATTCAAATCTCACATCATCAAAAACTCTGAGCATAAATAAGAAAATCTTAGATTTCCTTCCTACATCATTCAGTATTTTTTCGATATTTTATTTTTAAGTACCATAATTTCCTGAAGAAACGCTGCAGCGTTTACGTGTTTAAAACTTAAATTTTCAGCGTGTGCAGCATTTCTACCCATGCGGCGTTTAGGTGTACTAAATATAAAATATTTCCTATGATGGTCATTGTACATAGTTTGGATGGCCTTGTCATTGTGCATAGACTGGTGCTGTTCCCACACAAAAGACCACTCAGTTGCTGTTGGCGCATTTTACGCCAACGAATCTCGCCAAATCATTGCCTCCTACGATTGAGGCAGCAGACTGAAAAAAGAAGTCTAACCGGTCTGACGTGAGCAATTACTTGTAACCGAAGCTCACAATTAAATTGTATTTTGCTTCACTGTAAATATTTGTATATGACGTTTTTCTAAATAAAATAATTAAAAACGAAGCAGTGAAGCTGGTCTGTCGATAAAAAATAACCTTTAAGAAAAATAAGTTTATTCAACCTTTAAGAAAAATAAGTTTAATCAGTTGCTTTTTGCGAACGTTATTTTGTTTACATTCTTTCCCTTGAACGGATCTACATGCCTTATTCACCCTAAATGAGATCTCAGAAAAATAACATTCTTCCCCCTTTCAAATCAACCATCTCATCAGTTTGAATAGTTTCTCTCCTCTGCCATTCGATAAATCTTCCAGTACCCATCCTCTCCCCACCCCTGCCTTTTCTGCAATTTTTTTCAAAGGCGGATACGACTCCACCTGTCTTGCAATAACAAACTCTGACATATTTCCCCTTCAGCATGAATCAATTTTTCTTGGCATTCTGCCAGATACAGATCCCATCAGTTTGGGTACAAGTACTTGTTGGATAGTTTTTAAGTAAGAAGAGAGTGGAAAATTTTTGAAAATGTCACCTAAACGGCACAGAAGCTATACTGCTGGTTTTAAGCTTAATGTAATTTCACGCGTTGAGCAAATTGGAAATCGAGCAACAGCTCGAGAGTTTGTAGTTGACGAGAGTTGTATTCGACGTTGGAAGACTGAAAAAGAACTTTAAAATATGCCACAACAGAAATGAGCGTAAGAAGTGATACTGTAAGGTGGCCGAATCTAGAGGACGACCTTGAAAACTGGAAAAAGGAGGAACGAGGAAAGGGAATGTAAAAACTGTAAAAATTCGCTTACAAGCAAAATTTATAGCAAAACGAATGAATATAATGATTTCAAAGGAGGTGTAGCAGATTTATGAAAAGAAAAAATAATTCTGTGCCTACTAGAACAACAGTCGGGCAACAATTACCAATGGACTGGCAGGATAAAAAGGCATCTTTTCTAAAAATATGTGACAGATATTATTGACAAAAAAAACTTCTTCGGTCACAGATGGATGAAACGCCGTTAGCTTTCGACTCTCCTGCAAACAGAAGTGTTGATGAATGCAAAAACTGTATCTGTGCTCACGACGGGGCATGAAATAACGTCATTTACATGTGTGTTAGAATGTGCCACAAACGGTGACAAGCTAAAGCCGATGATCATTTTTAAACGAAAGACTATTCCGAAGAGAGATTTTCCTAATAACGTAATTATTTGTGCAAACGAGAACAGCTGAATGTTCGAAACAATCATGCATGAGCGGCTACAAAAAGTTTGGCAGTGTTGTATGGGATCTTTTTTCCAACCAAAAGGGTTATTGATAATGGATTCCATGGGTGCTCATTTACTTGAGTCAGTGAAAACCAGATGTCAAAAATTGTCTACGACCGAAGCAATAATTCCTGAACCTATTTTAACTTTGAAAAAAAAGTCAGAGAATTGCACAAACCAGGCATTTCACACTGCCTTAACTTTGTCCATGAACACATCGACCTATTTTCACTTAAAGTTAAAACTATCATGGTGACCAGAAAAAATTTGCCGCTGCGTTAACACACAGAGATGAACAAATAACCGATAATGCATATTTCCTAACATTAAACAACAAATCTTTTAACAAAAATTAACATACGGAGACGAATAAATAAATGAAACGTCAATTTTTTAACATACCTTTTTATCATGAGCATACTTTCAAGCTTCCCACCACCATCTTCCATGTAAGCAATTCAATTAAATTTTTGGTTGTTTCGGCTCATCTGCTATTAATGGTGGATAAATACACATAATAGAACCCAAACATCAACATTCATCCTCTTACTTACCTCAGACATACTCAAATGATGGTACCCACATCAAAATACAACACTAATGCACGTGCAACCGAACACATCAATTGAAAAGAATGGTAAGTATAAAAAAAATCCCGGTCCATACTGAAGTAATACTATTACAAAAAATAGCCAAAATCTCAATTTATCACAACACATTTGGTGATATTCGCAGAAAAACGGCTTCTTAATGATAAAAAAAAAAAAAAAAAAAATTCTCCAAGGC